CTTCTTGTGACAGCATGGTGTTTTTGTAAGTAATGTAGTAATTTTTTTTCACTAATTCTTCAGGTTTTTCTTTCATCCTCATGGCCATGTGGATGCACACACACACACAAAAATAAGCACCAGTGTGCAGATTCTGAGGTGATGCATTTTGTGTGTTTTCTGTCTTCCAAGTACTGCTGTGCATGACCTAGAAATGCTGGTGGTAAATGCTGTATCGTGGAGCAGAGTTGTTAAACTTGTTTATATCTAATCTTTAGATGCTATCAAGCTTAGGCTGGAAAAAGTAATCTGTTTTATGCTGTACTTTAACATTTGGTATACGTTATATAAACACATATAATCTCTCCACAGCAAAGTAAATATTGTAGGAACTCTAAATTATAAAATTTATTCTCTATTTGGAAAATTAATAGAGGCTGAGAGCATCTAATGTAGTTGCATTTCATTTGACTTCTTATCCTCGCAGAACTTTTTAAAATCACTGATATATCTGATTTAGCAGTTTGGGAAGTTCAGAGATAAAGGGCAATTTCATAAAACAAAAGGGAATTTTAGGCCACAAGTTTTCAGAATTACAGAAATTCTTCAGTAGAAGCAGTAATTCTTGTACTTAGTACTTTTTTTTCATTCTATAATTTTCTCTTTGATCAAATAATTGCTTTTTTTCTTTGGGCCTCTTCTAGGAAAGAGTTCAGATTTTTTTTTTTAGTGTAAGATTAATGTGAAAATATCTTAGGAATAAGCCCAGCCAGACAGATCACAAAAAATACACATTTAAAAAATCATATTAAAACTCACTGTAATAAATGAGATACCATAAATAGGACTGTGATCATGTTAAGTACCCTGTGGTTGCCTTAGATATGCCTGAGATGTCACAGTAAATTATACAGGTGTCTTTCAAAGGATGCACCACAGACACAGAGGAGTGAGGGCTTAGGCATATGGGAACAAAGTGTAATCTAGCTCATAAATACTAATTCTAATAGAAAAAAAAAGTAAAAATAGCTTAACTGACATAATCGCAGTAAATTGCAATGTTTCAGCCATTAATGATTCCAGTCTCTTGCACACAGCAGTGATTATGCAGCTCTGTGTGGATTTACCTTCTTTCACGTGCAAATGCTCACTGTCAAACTGCTGTAAAAACTGATTTAAAATTCTAGGACTTAAAATAAGAGAAAAACACAGGCACTGTTAGTGCCCTCTCAACTGCAGACCTAGCATGGCTATTTTTGTGGGTAGTTACATGCTCTAACACAATTTTAATTTCAGCTGACCAGGTGACACTTGCATTAACCTCTCAGACTAAGAACCACCTTTGTGTTTTTAAGTGTCAGGTGTGTCTCATGTCCAGGTGTCCTTCAGTGTTTCTTGTTTGGTTTTTTTGTAATATTGTTATTCTAGAATCAGCCTGGGGAAAACCAGCTTGTTTATCTGTCTTGCCCTTCTTCCCTTTTTAGAAGTTTTGTGCCAGGAGGGACCAGATAATACTCCTGTATTTTTGTATAAGCACACCAGTGTAATTCCTTGGACTGGATAAGAATTGCCTTATCCCAAATGTTTTGTCAGAAACAAATTCTGGGGTAGCTTCCACGTAGGAATTGAGGAGGGGATTAACTTTAAAGTGGAGCCTGATCAAATAATGGAAAAGTTTGAGTGATTTCAGGGTACTTAGGCAAGGACTAATGAGCAGGGCATTCTTGTCCCTACCTGCTGAAGAAAGCACATACAGAGTGGATGTTTGGTGCTGTGCATCACAAACTTCTTAGGTGCAAAGGTATTAGAACTTTTTCTTTTACCAAAGTTGCTTTCTTTAAGTGAAAAACAGCTTGGATATTTAGCTTTACAGATAGGTAGATAATGATCTCTGACCATTGTGTGTAGATTTTTCCCATAAATTCTTTTTGAGTGTGTAGACTAATCTCTTTTTTGAATGTTCCCATTGATTTTTTTTTTTTTTTCATCAGTGATCTTTTGGCAGCTGTTCAGTTCTAAATTGCTTTTACCATTAGGGAGCTTTTACTTGCACCTAATCTCACAGCAGCCATTTTGATTAGATTTAATATAACTTTTCTTGCATCTTGCTTTACTAAAAACTGCATCCTGCTGGTTTTCTCCGTGGTTTTCTTAAGAGAGTATGGAGAAGAGCCAGGAGGATCTGCTGTTGATGATAGATGGTCTGAAATTAAACCAGTGTCCTGAACAGAGAGTGCTTAAAAGGTTTTGATGCTGTGTTTCCATGCAGTAAGCAGTCTTCTCATGGCAGTGTTCTGGATTTATCGTGCCTGAGACTTTCTCCAAGTAGCAGGATTGATGAGATTCATGTGTGCTCCCTAAGGATTGATCATGCTATGCCAGAAGAGTGCAATGTCTAATATATGAGGAAAAAATACAGATTTTTTTCCCCCTCTGCTGAGCCCTGGTAGAGAGAGCTGTAAAGGGGTCATTGGAGAAGCAGAAGTTTGAAAATTTTAGTTTATTAATGAGCACAGAAAAGTCAGTTTCATTTTGGAACTGTATAGATTGGTTGGTTTCCAGGTCTTCCCTGCTGCTGTAAGGCCTCTCTGTTCTGGTGGGGGTTCAGATACAAGTCAGAAAGTGATAACCTTTGTTAATGGGCTACTGTATATTAAGATCAGTATTTAACTAACACCACGACCTCTTTTTGCTGGCACTATGGAAGATCACAGGAATCCTGCTGCAATGCAAGGATTAATTCACTGGTCTGCAGCTTAATTGTTTCCTTTTTAGTTTAAATAATCGTGGGAAAAAGCCCTTCAACATAGGATATTTGTATCCCATTAATTACTTAATAGCTCCTCAGTGACTTGTACCCCAGTTCCCCAGTAAGATGTTTTTTGGGAATGGGAGACAGTGATTTAAAAAAACACCACAGAAAGACAGAAACTTTACAGACATTGAAATAATTCTAAGCACTGTTCTTTTGGACACACTTTTGAAAATTTAAAGCACTGAGACATTTCAAATACTGATAGATTAATGACATAGGTGACTATATATGTTTATTACTGACTGGAAGTATAATATATGAAGAGTAAACTATATTCTTCCCATAATAGTATAGGAAGAATAAACTTGATTGATATGTCTGGCAGGACTAGGCCAAGGAGCCTGATTTTGGTAAGCAGAACCAAAAAAACTAAGAAGCATTAAAATTGATTCTAGTTGACTAGTTCAGTAATTGAAACTAGTGTTAAGGTGTAATGCTGTGCAAAAAGAACAGCGTTTGTGTGTGCATGTGTGTACAAAATGTGAGAAGAAAATATGTAATTTGCATGTTGCAAAATGTATTTAGTGTAGTGCAGTCACTGGACAGAGTTCACAGGGCCTCTGTCCCTCCATCCTGTCTGCTTTCACTGAATTCTAAACTTGTCCTCAGTGCCTGCTTCAGCTTCTCAATTAAAATATGGATCATCAGTAAGTTAATATCCTGTAAGTTAAAAGTTCTTTCTAATGAGGCATATCCAGCTTTTTAACACTTGCTGCATTTCCTGAAGGAAAGTCATCTGCTTGTCTGAGTAACATTTAATTACTTGAACTTCTTCCTCTTTCTTTGTGCATCTGAAAGCACTTTGATAGCCACTTTTCCTTATGTCTGGTTTTAATTTGTTCAGGTTAATGGTATTGTGGCTGAAATACCTGTGGCAATTGATCATAATCTAGTTTTTAAATTTTAAAAGAACAGTGAGTAAGGATTGACTTGTAGTAGATTGTGTACTTGTAGGAAACATGTGTACTTGTAGGAAAAAAAGTAGATAGATTTCAATCTTTTACCTTGTGTGTAGTGAAAGTTTTGTCCCACTGTTTTGTGAGGCCACCTCATCAGTTAGGCTCTGAGCAAGCTTATGTATTAAAAATACATTCTTAATTATTTCTCACAAACACATATATTATCAGTTCTCTCCTGATGGTTTTGTTAACTTGACATAGTGTATATATGTTGAAGTAAACAGTGCAGTATGTTTATCTTTAAATTGCTAGGGTTGTCTTTGGGGAGTTTAGAAAAATCTACATATTCAGGAGACTTGGGGCATTTTTAAGTACTAATAAGTTTAAGCTGCAGAATTCCAAAAAAACAAAAGCAATGGAAACAAAAGGGTGAGGAAGGGAGCATTGAAACAAAGTATTTTGAGCTGGAGAGTACATTTCACTATAGCCTAAGGATATTTCCTCTGAACTCCTTAAAAATAAGTGAGATAGAAATCTCAGCTCGCTGATTCATAATAGGTGCTAGCTCACTTAAGCTTTCCTTGCTTCTAGCAGGCTTCCTGTTTCTTTTAATATCTTCCATTTGAGTGAGGACTTAGAAACAATTGTTAATAACTGTTCTCAATCCATTTACAGGCCAGTTTGTTTACAGTCTATTTAATGCCTCTGGAATTTTCCCTTCTTTCTTTACCTGAGGTCCACTGACTGCTCCTTTGTTTTTTAAGTACTCCTAGAGCACAGCAAGGAACTCTTTCAGACTAGTGAAGTAAAGGTGGCTGGTCTGTACTGGGGATAGGGGGGAAAAAAAGCAGTTTTAGAGTAGGTTTTTTTTTTTTCAATTTAATGTTTGTTGTACGTTTAAGATTATTCTTCAGGCTTCATTATTCACACCAGTGACCTGTTAGGGGTGTTTGTCCCCTATTATGAATCCATACCTGAAAGTTACTATGTCCACACTGAAGTAGAAGTACTAGGTAATTTATTACAGGTAATTTTCTTGTAAATAAGGAAATGTAAAAATTACTTAATGACTTGAGGAATATCTGTGCAAACTCTCTTTGCATGTGTTCCCTGAAGCTGGACAAGGAACAGAGCTGTAACACAGAAGAAGAAACAGGATATTAAGGCAACTCTGGAATTTTGTTCTTGGTGATTAACACAGTGTGATTAATTTCCATATTTAGTGTGGACATCAGATCTGTTTGCCTGTGCCTTCTAGTATATAAGACTGCATGTAAGTGAACAATATCTTTTGAATTCTTTTTCAGCTCGAGATGCAGATGAGAGGGAGAAGTGGATCCACGCTTTAGAGGACACCATCCTCCGCCATACCCTCCAACTCCAGGCAAGTTTCACTTTCAATTTTCACTTGTTTTACTTTTTTTTTTCAATCAATGAAATACAGTGGCACGACTGCTAATATCCAGCACATCCTGTATGAAATCTGGCTGTTCTATGGCCTATACAATTGGATATAGTAAAACATCTGTTTAGGTTTGAGTCTGTTACATTTTTCTTGTCCTACCATAATGAAAAGCCAGAATGACACTTTCCTTTATTAGCTCATATTTATAATATATATACTTATCATTAACTCATTTTTTTAATAATTTATTATAAATATATATTTTTGTATATTTATTTATTATATATAATAATACAAATATATAATATATATTTATTGTAAGGTTCTGGATTTATTGTTGTACGTTTAATTTGGTTTTGGTGGGGGGTTTTTGTTGTTTTTTGTTTAAAACTAGGAGTCTTTTTTGGATCAAGCCTCTTGTGTGCTTGTATGCCACCTAACTTGGAAATTAAAATGAGACAGCAGCATTGAACCTCTTTCTGGATGACAAAAATGATAAATAGCTTGTTTGAAGCAGGATATCACTGTGTAAGATGGGTATCAGTGGTTTTCTGGTTGTAAAAACAGATGGTTGGATTGAGGATGATTCTTAGCTTTAGTTACCTAGTTCCAGGAGCTGGACTCTGTCATCCTTGTGGGTCACTTCCAGCTCTGGAAACTCTGTAGTTCTATGATCTAAGATCAGTTTCTTATGATACTTTATAGCTGGACATGTCTGTAAGACTTGCTGAACATTTGTTTTTGTCCTGGAGTAATCCAAACTCATGAAAGGGATTTGGCTTGTACCATCTAGGTGTCTGGTGATGGTGTAGAAATCTTAAAGCAGGTGTTCATTATTTGTGTTAAATAAAGCTTTGGTTGTGCTTTTGTAGCATGGCATGAGAATTAGGTGTCTTAATATTTGATTCAGTGTGAAGAAAGATAGAGTAAAATCTCTTAATATCTCATAAAGAGAAGCTTGTGAAGACTGATTTAGATGACATTTGCCCAATCTAAAGGGTTAGAACAAGCCTGAATTTGACCCATTGAACTTTAGACCCTTGTACTATCTCTGTCAATTTACCTGTTAGACGTAAACAGTTTCAACCTTCTTTCATCTATTAAAGACCACTACAATTTTTTTAGAGGGTAGTAGATCCCTGGATAAAAATTCCCATTTGACAGTCAGCTATTTACCCCTCCTACTGTGCCATGAGTATGTTAGAAGTAATCTTCCCATCTGGACACTATAGCTGACCAAGGGCTGAAGAATCCCACTCTGCAGTGGCTGTGAGGAGACAGGGATTACCTAGGGAGCAATATGTGGATGTAGAAGGGCTGAGCTTGCTCCCAAGGGACGTCTCTTTCCCCATCCTCAGTTTAGAAAGTGAATAGGTTAATGTGAGTGGTCCTGTTTATGGTCTGAAATGAAGTTAAAGGAATCTGTGCTGTTTTCTCCACCTGGAAGACTTTTTATGACATGGAGATACAGAGTCAAGGAATGAAACACCAGAATATACATTGGTTTTATCAAAATGTACACTTCTATGCTCTCTAGAAATTGTGAGTGTAGTTATATTGGTGGGAATAGTTTTCATGGTAGCAGCTAATAATGGAACTATTTTCCATTGCATAACTCTTCACGTTCCTGGAGATTTTCAAAAGAGTAAGGTGTATATAGGAGGAAAAAAAAAAGCCCAAGTTAGTAATTTATCTAGTAATGTTTGAGGGAATAATTAAAAAACCTGAACTGAGTACTAAGAAACACATCCTGCATTATTGTAGATATGTTCACCATGGAATGTAATACTTTGTGGCCCACTGCTGTGTGCTCACCACTCATTTTCAAGACCCTTCTTCAGTGTACGGGTCATGCAACCTTTCAGCCTCTGGCCCTTATTTTGGGGTCGGTGGAGCAGTGTTCACTCACACCCCATTCGGGAACTGCCAAGGTTTGCCACGGGAGCTGCCGAGCCTATTTCAGAATGAAACGCGACTGCACTCCTTGCCAGAGCTTCGGAGTGTGCTGTTCCTCCTGCTCCCCCTCACCGGCGGGACGCGGGGGCGGCACGAACAGGGGCCGAAGTTTGAGGGGGTTCTCGCAGGGCCGCACCCGGGCAGGAGCATCCCGCGCCTCCATGGCCGGCCAGGCCCTGCTGCTCTCCCTTGCTCCCTCCCTCCCTCCCCCGGCCGCGGCTCCCGGGGCCGGCCCGCCCCGCTCCAATCTCCGTCCGCCGTGCTGGTGACGCGCTCGGCGGGGCCGCGGCCGGGGGTCCTGCCCTTCCCTTCCCGCCCCTTCCCGCCCCTTCCCGCCCCGCTGGAGGCGGCGCTGCCGGGGCCCGGCGGGCGGGCGGCCCCGCTGCTGGGAGCACCGCGGGATGGCCGGTGTGAGTACGGGGGGCCGCGGGTCGGGCTGCGGGGGTCCCTCGGGGCAGCGAGCCCCTGCCCTTGGCGGCCGAGCGGCGCTGGCGCTGCCCGGGCACGGCGGGGACGGAGCGGGAGCGGGCACGGAGCGCCCGGGTGGCTCCGGGGGCAGCGAGAGTCGCCCGGTGCCGTGTGCCCGCAGGGATGGTGCTGTCCGTGTGCCCGCAGGGATGCTCTGTCCGTGTGCCCCAGGGATGCTGCTGTCCCATGCATTGACACGCCTTGGCTTCTGGAGCCTTTGAACAAACGGCGCTTCGTGCGCTTGGTGTTATGTTGTTGTTTCGCTTTCCTTTTCCTTCGGACAGAACAGGCGAACGGGTTCTGTGGGGATTATTGGCTCAGCGGATGGCGGGGTCTGAGTGCCGCGGCAGAGATTATTTTCTCTAAAGGCATTTTCTTAGGCTCTTAGTTTCGCTAACTAAACATGTGGTTCACAGTCACTTAAAACCTTTAGGCAGCTGGTTTTGCCCAAAATGTTGTATCTTTTCAGAGTATTTTTTTCGTATTTCCATGCTGCTTTTGAGTCTGCCTGTGCTGGTTACAGGAGTGATCAAGTTTGAAAGTCAGACTTAAAGTTGACTTCACTGTACCAAAAACTCATCTGAGCTGTGAGGAACTGCACCAAACCCCAGGGGGTTCGTGTGCTGGGTGAACCAAATCAGGAAGGATTACGAGTTAATGCGAGGTGGAGAGGTGAAGTGGTGTCTTTGTGTTCTCCAGTCTGATTAATCTTGCTGGTTTTATTTTTGCCTAAGTGTTCTGCTGTGCTGTCCTTCACTATTTATAATGGAAATGTTTTTGAAACACAGAATGAAACACACTTCTTCTGCCGCCCTCCCCCCAAGCCTAAAATGAGCTACAGGCAAGGAACTGAGTCATAAATACATAGAATGTATAAAGGGGCCCAAACTGTCCAGAGGGCTGACAATTAGTAATGTTGTATGCAAAGGGAACAACAAGGGGGAGGAAACATTTCAGATACACTTGAAGCCTGATTTGTTTGAATTCTGAAACTGAAGTGTGCTGTGTTTTCGTATGCACTTGTATTAAAGCTATTGCTAAAAATACACATAGTAGTTCTAGTATTAGCTTTGGCTGTGTAAAAGTCATTGAACAGATGGTGTGATACTACTGGAAATGCCATTCTGAACCCTGCAGAGTTTTCCCCCTTATCCCCCCAAATTGTTACTATTGTGGCATTAGCAGGCCTGTGGCTTTGCAGTGGCAGCACAGCACTGGCCTCATACCCACAGGATCTAAGGGGGAGGATGTGCTTGGGGTGAAGGCATGTTGCGGCTAAAGTTTCATGTTTGTGTGGGGAGAGAAGTTATCTCACATTTTCTTCTGTTCCCCAGCAGCATCTGATGTCAACAGCAGTCCCATTCAGACAGGACATGCTTCTCATTGTCCTGCTTTCCTTGCTGTCTGTCAGGTACACCCTGGCAGCACCCTAGAGCTGCTACAAGTGCTTTTGGGCAGTGGAATTTGGCTCTGGAATTGTCTCATGAGTTATAATGGATAGCTCATGTCTTTTAGTAACACAGTAACTTCCTTATTTGATCTACACTAATTTACTTCAGCCTCTAAGTGGCCTCTGTAGAGACAAGTGAACTGAAATCATGGAGGTGAGCAATTTCTAACCACCATTAAAGTGAAAGGAATTAAGTGAAAATTAATTGCTTTGTAGGTTGATAATTCCATAATTTAAACAAGATGTTTACTTCCTAAGTAGCAAATGATAAGAAAACTTGATGCTAGTAAGTGGGTCTGTGCTGGCTGTTGTGAAGAGTAGTTTCAGTAGTTTAAACACTGACTGACACCGTGGCTTCACCAAAATGTAGGAGTTGGTTTTGCTTCTGGAAGCAGTCCTGTCTCACTTCTCCAAGCAAAAGGGAAGAGGCAGTGTGGCAAGAAGGGTGGAATTTGGAACTTAAAATTGCTTTTCTTGCTGCTCTCTCTGCGTTTATTTTTAACCCTGATTAGTTTCCACATTGAGTTGTTTATGTGACAAGGTAAATGTTTATGCTGACTCAAAATAAAGGGCAGAGTGAAGGCTAAAGTGAACAGCAGGGGAGCTGACTTGTTTCCCCTTCATTTATGCTGGTGCAAAGTGTTTATGAGATGTTGATAGTAGCAGTTCACTTAGTACCACATTAACCAGGATTGTTTCTGACCTTTCTAAAGCTGCGAGCAAGAACACAAGGTAGAGTAAAACTTCCTTGTGTGTTAAGTATATTACACTCTAAATATATTGCATTGTTGTTAACTGGCTTTTCAGTGCTGCTCCTTTTGTGAGTCAAGAATTCTTGCACAAAACTAAAACCAGGCTCTTTTAGATTAAGAGTATATCCAGTGTAGATGTTTTACAAGTGCTAGTGGGAGGGCATAGGGTTGGCAGCCATGCTGCCCTTTTCACATTTTGCTAATGAAATAATCAGATAGTGCCTGAATACCCTAGAACATGTGCATTATCTGCACTGATTATAGATTATAAAGGCAAAGGAATGGGACTTTAAGATATACTTAGTATTTGTGAGGTTTCAGAATTGTAACCTGTGCTTTGCAGACAGAATTTTACATCAGTGTGTAAATGTTTCTGTCTTCTGAACTTTCTGTTCTCCTAGAAGATCTGATAGTATCTACAGGTACACACTCTTTGCCAAGCATTTTGTGTTTTGCAAAGTAGCACCTTTTTTTTCCCTAAGAATTACAGTAATCTGTTTGGAAGGGTCACGTGCTTTCCACAACTTATATATTTGTTTTCAAACACTTACATTCTAAGCTTCAAATATTGCATAAAAATCTAGCAGAGGAAAAAAACAGAGCTATTTTTGCCTCAAAAGTGCCCTTGTTTAATGGCTTACAAGTTCATTTCTTGTTTTTCTTCAATTTTTTATCAGTGGTCCTTACAGGCAATGTCCAGCTCATCAAAATCAAGCATGTAGGCAGGGGATATGTTTCTGATGAGATATTGTGGATGAAAGGAAAACATTTTTATTCACTCCTTCAAACTAACTTCCACAGGAATTTTTTGTTGGATTTGGAATCCTAATTAGAGGAAGAATGTAGAAGTGTCTTCAAAAAGATAAGAAATTCCACTCTGTACAGCTTTCTGCCTTCCTCCCCCAGGAAAGCTATTATTGTAATGCTTTTATTTGAGAAATATAGTTGAATTTTTCTGGTATGCTTCTTCTAAGGAGGATGTAATCTTTTCATCCCATCTGAGTTTGAAAGAACTGGTTTAAATTAGGCTGAATTACTTCTCAGCATGCACAAGTTTTGAATACAAATGCAGTAGAGATATGTGTGACTTCTAATTTGGAGGACAAGGAAACAACACGAAATTCCCTTGGTGCTGGTGGTTCTGTAGTGAAAATAAGGCTCATAATATGGATGAGGGAAAGGATGCTATGGTACCCTTTTCTCTTTTATCAGTATGGTTTGAGTATCAGGATATTTGTTCCCTCTTGGTGGGGAGCAGTCAGACATCAAATTACTTGTTTTGACACCAAACTTGTTGGTTTGGAAGATTCTGGTCAGACTAAAATTTTTAAATGACTCCCTTCTGCAGCTGTTTAATCTGTTAATTCTTTTAAACTTACATGAACGCAGGGTCTTTATTTGAGGTTAATAAAGTGTATTTACAAATAGATGTAGTTACTCAATGGAAAAACAAGTTATACTACTTCACATAGGTACTGACAGGAAGGAAGAGTTCAGTGTATTTTCTGAAGATCAAAAATAGTCTGGATTCCTGTTCTTTTCCATAATTTGAAGATACTTATTTTAGAATCACAGAATGACTTCAACTGGAGAAGACCTCTGGAAATCACCTGTTCAAGCACCTTCTCACTGAAGGTAAATTTGTACTTTTGATCAGGTTGTCAAAGGTCAAACCCAGTTGAGTTTGGAGCTCTGCCCTCCAAGGGTGGAGGTTCAGCAATAACTGCAGGCAGCCTGTTTTGTCAGCCTGTGAATAGGTGAGCAGTGGATTTTACAAGTTCCTCATAAAAATTTGATTGCTCATTGAGATGTGCAGATTCCTAAATCCAAGTTCACCAAGCTGTTAAATGCCATTCTAGTGACTCTGCTCACCTGTTCCTTTTGAGGCCTCATTTCCTTCAGGGCAGGGAAGGAGAGAAAGGGTCCCCATTTTACCTTTACTGGCTTTGAAAGACCGGAAGATCAAGAAATAAGCATTTGTTATGCAGACGTGCACTTTGTGTATCTCCTCTTTCTAAATTACTGCTGGGTTTGAAATACTGATTGATTTTGTTTGCTATTCATCCAGACTGGGGTTTTTTCTATGGTATTGCTCTTTTCAACTTTTCCAAATATCTTTTCGTTTTCAATTCTAAAACTATCTGAGCACTTAAATTATTAACCTAATCTCATATATGACAGACTAATGAATTTGCTGAGAAGATTATAAAATTTCATCTTAACTATCCAAGAGCAAACTAGTGAGGTGCTGCAGCTTTAAGTACCTGTGCTTTGCAAAATTATTCTCATGTTTCATCTCTGTTATGTTCAGCTTGACCCTTTACCTGGTTTTATGGCTTTCTCTTTACAGTTTGAAGTTTTAATTTTCTAATACAACTTCTTAGGTTACAGTTTTCACTCTGTGTTTTGTGTGGGTGTCTGCTCAGTTGTAACACTGAATGTTTTGATCAGCTTTTCCCTTAGTTCTAAAAGCCTGAAATTTAAGAATGACATTTTATCTTTAAGCCACCACTAAAAATATCAGATAGTTACATGTTCATAGTCATGGAGTGAGGACTGAAACAAAAATCAGCATTTTGATGTAGCATACAGATAGCATGCACAGTAAACCATATTTCTGTGTACAGTATCTTCAGCAGAAATTTCCTGTATGTGGTTTGGTATATGAAACCTGACCTCCAGAATTTTTAACTGAGCTTGCAGGACCATTTGCTGAACTAAAGGGTTTTGCTGGTAGCTGTACAGACAATTCCATTTTCAACAAGGAAATTGAATACCAATTTCACATCATTTCAGATGTAGTTTCAGTGCAATTTAAACTAGTTTGAGGGAGAGTCAGAAGTTGCTGGGTTGAGAGCACTCTCCCTTCTGCCTATTAGTTGTTTTAATAACTTGTTGCACTCAGTGCTTTTTGAATTTATGTTTTGTCACAGTCAAAATATTTTGGGTTTTTTCCTCATCTCCTCCTCCCTCCTCCTTGTTTCACATTATTTCTAAAATTGGCTGGTGTTGGCTGTCTAATACAGGTGAAGTATCTTCTTTTGATTACAAACCCAGCTGTATGGATAGATGTACTCCTGTAGAGCTGTTGTCAAGATCTGCATGCATATTTGTAGCAAATGAATAAAGAATAATGTTTTCTACAGTCACTAACTGGGTTTTGTTTTAGGCTGTGTGTGATACTGTGCAAGTCATTCCACTGCTGCACAAAAATGCTCACACCTCTAAAGAGCCATCAACAAAACTCTTGATATGATGGCCCAAAAATCATACAAAAATAAGAGAAATTGTGTGTTCTGACAGAGCCAACAATGCCAAAGAAAATGTGGGATTTTACAAATCCCGTAAATTTGTACCGTAATGTGGGATTTTACAAATACAGATTGCCCATCTTCCTCCATGTGGAATGTATTTCCCCACTGGTTGATCTTTCCATGCTCAGACTCTTGAGGTGCTCAGCAGTTCAAACAGCAATTGATGTTTTCAGCAGAGTTTGAAGTTGTCCTGTTTGAGATCAGTGTGAAAATATTGAGGCTGATAGCAAAGTTGTCACTGCTGTGATGCTCTCAGGATTATGTTCTCTTACAACTGATGTTTGCTTCTTTATCCTTCATGGGTTTTTCTCCTGTATATGTTTATCCTACAGTGTACAATTTTTTCCAACTTCAGTATTTGTTTCTCAGTTCTATTTGCATTAAAGGTATTGTATAAATAAACCTTTAATGTGTTTACATAGCATATGGGCATCAAGGTAGGAGTAATCAAGAATCTTCTATTTTCTTTCCTCTAATTAAAGATGTTTCCCAGTGGGAATTTGTTTGTTTAAATCAGTGGTGTATCTGTTTAGAGATAGGGATTGTGTTATATACGGAAGTGTGTTCTGAGTGGTATATTATTAGGAGAAACAAGTTTCCAAGCAAGAAAATATAAAACTAATCATTCTCATTACACTGATACATTGTCCTTGGTGCTGTGTGTGCAACTAAGTGTCAGAATTCAGATACAGTGACAAAGATGCAAATCATTATGGCTGTACAGGAACTAGGGCAACTAGGACTAATGATTTTGAACTTTTCAGATCAAAGGTATTTAAGAAAAGATTTAGCAGTTCTTAGCTAGGGAGCTGTGAGTTGAGCAATGCTGTGTGAAGTGTGAAAAGTGCAGTTAATCCCACTGGGTGTGATTTGGGCTTCCCTAGCTGAAGTGTAAGGGTATGGAATCACAAGACAGTCCTCAGAAAAATGTGAATTCTCCTTTATATTTTATAAAGAAACTTTAATCAGTGTAATTTAAGAGGATTTGTTCAATCATAAGTAATGAAATACTCTGGTGTGTGATGATTATACCCCCTGTGAAAATGTGGAGCAATTTACTGCTGCTGATTTAGCTGCAGATAGAAGCCAAATGTGTTCAGCTGTGTGCCAGTGTCTGCACGTGGCAGGCAAGGCAGCATTTTCTCAGTCAGATGGCAGGCAAAACCATATTGCTGTTGTACTTTTTTCTCCTCTGAGGGGCTAATTAAATATTTTAATTTTGTTTGTTTATTTATTTCTAGGGTGTGGATTCAGGATTTGTTCCCAGCGTTCATGATTTTGACAAGAAACTTACTGAGGCTGATGCTTACTTACAGATCTTGATAGACCAGCTGAAGGTATGGTAACTAAATGCTGCATTTATTGTGGTGGAGATCTGTTTGTCAGGCTGGATTTCAAGGCCAGCTTGAAAGGAAACTCAACAGAGATAGCCATCAAAATGAAAATGCCTTTTTCTCAGGATTGTTAAAAATTAGAATATTTATATATAAATATAGAATATGTATATAGAAGCAGATTTAAATAAAATGGTTTACAGTGACTGAAAGATTCTGTTTTCTATAAAACCTGTATGGAAATTGCAAGGTTAAATGTGTTAAGTTTCATTTTGAAACATAATTAAATCATTGTGTTGCTCATAGCATTTGTCTGTCTTGAGGAGATTTTGTCAAGTGATGTGTAGCTACAGTTGCAGATAGTTTCAGACTTTGTTGCAGGGGTGGTGGTGGATAATCTTTGCTTTGTCCTTGAGTGAAAGCATTCTGTAGGAGTGTTGTACAATAGAGCTCTTTTAAACTTTGTATTTTAAGAATAGATGGGACTGCAAGGAACAATGAGGTCGTATCTCTCAGTCCTCACCTTATTGAGAAAAACACTTTTTGCTGCTGCTTAGGACACCTTTTTTCCCATGACTCAGCTGCTTAAAATTGCTGTTAAATTGCTTCAGTTCTGCTGGGTTGGATTTTTTCCCTGATATAATGTGCAAGTATTGCATGTGGGATATTCAGCAAAAATTCAGTTGGAGGGTGGAGAGGGGGATGAGCACAGCAACAAAAATGAAGGTAGGCAGAAGAGATGCAAAGAAAATTCAGAGCTGCCCTGCAAAGACTTGGTCAGGAGCTGTCTTTTCTGGCACTCTGGAGCCTTCACTTCACTGACAGAAGGTATTTAAATCTTTACACCTTCTAATTGTTATTTCAGGCCAGCTGGGGGGAGGGGGATAGAAATTAATTAATAATGAAAGATGAGTCAGTTTGAGGATGGACAGAGACCAGGATCACAGCCTATTTTTAGAGCTAGAAATCAGCCCTCAGGGGAAAGGGAACACATGAGTAGGTTTGAGGCAGGCAGCTGAGTGCAGAGCTGCAGCTCACTTCCTAAAAATTACATCCTCTTCTCCAAGCTGCAGGGGTGGATGTGATGAACTTTCAGCAATACCCATAGTGTTTTCTTTTCCTTGAGCAGCTTCATGGTTGTGTGTGCTCCTTAGAGTGCCCTCAGAGGCCTCTGTTAACTCTTTCAGCCCAGCTTGTGTTAAATGCACATGCAGGCTTTGCAGTGAGGGCTTGTTTCACTTTGCTTTGTTGCATCTCATATCCCACTTTTAAGAAAATAAACATAAATTAATGCTAGGAAGTCATATCTTCCCCAAAAAATGTGCTTACATGATTTGGATCATGTACCTGAATCAAGGAACCTGGAAGGGTTGATGAGAGTTAAAGCTCTTCTGGTTAAAGGTTTTTGCTGAAATAGAAGAAAGACAGCTGGAGGTGTTCTGATTAATTCAGTGATGTTTCTTAACTTCACCTTTTTCTTCAAATCATGGTAGAATTGTGAGGCTTAGCTGTGAGATCTCTTGCAGGATGGGATGATTGAGAAATTAGTAACAAATCTGCTATATCACAAATGCTGTAAAGAAATACCAGGCCAAAACTGCTTTGGATCCTAATACCAGGGTTGTATGACTTTATCTTTATTAAATGTTTTTGGTTTAAAATGTCAATGTTTCTGTCTGATTTTATGTGGAAAAATAAAAATTTCAATATTCTCACAAGTATCTCTTTCTTTCAGCTCTTTGATGAAAAACTCCAGAACTGCAAAGATGATGAACAGAGAAAAGCAAGTACATTTTGTCTTAAAAATTGTTTATCAGGTGGTGTTGTGCATCAGTTTGCTGTAGTAGAAATGCTAAGTACACATTTATTGGGTTGTCAAAATCACTTCAAGCAATTAGAACAACTTAGAACAGTTGTGTTGTGACTAAGTTTGCAAAAAAATTTTAGTAATAATGGGAGTCATAACATTATAAAAGGTTTCAGTCTGTCAGAAATAATTGCTCCTCTGCTGTCCCATGTGTTGAAATGCTTCCAACAGTGTTGAAAACATTTTAACTTAAATTTGCTATTTTTTAATCTTTAACAAGGATGAGTGTTTAATGTTGGTAGGAATTACAAAGCTATTCCGAAGGCAAAAAAATAAATACTCCTAATTATGTATTTCACATAATCAGTCTGCATCCTGTGTAGGTCTGTGACACATTGGAAGTCTGAGAATGCTTCATTCACTGAAGTGAGGGTGCCAGAAATGTAGCACAAATGTAGTAGAAATGGGGAGCACAGCTCTTTGAGCAAGGGTGTAATTCAATTAAAGGTTTGTGTTCTTTGCATCCCCTCCTGTTCCATGCCAAGGCCAGCTCTGTCAGTTCAAGCACTGTTTAAGAAAGGCTGGCACAAACCTTTGGTGGTGTGGGTTTGGCATTAAGTGTCATGCTGGTTTCATATATTAATTTGTGTGTGTGGAGGATGGGTTTAACAGTTCCTTATGAAGGATTTGTTACAGAGCAGTTGCTTCTCTCCAGCAAATGCAGTAATTTTGATATGATGAAGTAGTGGTGTATTTCATCCTTGTTCCCTCCCTCAATGTCTCTTGTGGAAAACAAGCTGTGTTCTCGTGGTGTTTGGTTCCTGTTTTGAAAACTCTTTGATGTTTTCTGTGTTTAGTTTTACTTCTTTATAATGGTTGTGACCTTTCAAGTGTTATTCATCTCACCTGATGTGTTAGGTGGTGTCTTGGGGAGCTCTTTCTCATGTACAGGCTTTTAAAAGAACTTTGAAGTGCCTCTCTGTCACTGTGTTCAATCTGTAGACAAGTGACCACAAGAGCCAGGTCCAAGGATTTTTGTATTTCTCCTTCAGTGTGTTTTACTGGGAAGAGTTGTCCTACAAGTCTGACCTCCCTCCAGATGCTGCTTTGCAGATCAGGCAGTACTTTCTTTTTTCCTGTGGCAGTGCTCCTAATCCCTAGAGGCTTTCCACATGTTGTGCTGACTCCTTTATTTGTCTGTGCAAGGTATCTGTGGCACAGATGGCTTCACTTTATAGAGAAAGGGGAGGCTCATTTTGAAGAGGTTGGCATCCTCTGGTTTTAAATCTTGATGAGGATTGCTATTACTGCAGATTCCATTTATTCTCTATTAAAAATGAAAAACACTTGACAAAGCATTCTTTTGTCTCTGCCTGCACTGAGAGGTTTTTGATACAGTATTTGGCATTTTCCCTGTTTGTTATGGAAGTATGGTTCAGCTGTCAGATGATGAGCTGAGTGTAATCTGCAGGGTGCTTCCATCAAACCCATAGTTCTTTCCTCCAAGGAAACAACTTTTGGATATTTGAGTTTTAAGTGCTTCCCAACCAGCTGAGTGCTGTTCTGCAACTGTTTATGGCCAGGGATTTCAAACCTGAGCTGTTGTTTTCGCAAGTTCACAGAGCATTGGATGAGCTGGCTTTTAGTTACAGAATATTTGGTCTTTTGGAGATGATGACACAGGTTATAGGTGTTCTGACATGCCTCAAGATCTCCTGGATCTCTTCTGAGATGTGCTAATCTCTTGAATTTGGATGAAGACAGTGCAGATGCAGGCCTGCTGAAAATGCAGGGATTTTCATGAATTCCCTGTGCTGCATTGTTGTTCTGGCAGGAGTGCAGGGTATGGGGGGATCATGCACAACCAGCAGTGCCCCAGTTCTTACAGTGTGACCAGGATTACTGGTGAGAGCTCCAGCACAGCTTTCCTGTTCACTTTGGTGGAGTTATCTTGACCACACATCAGGGAGAAGAAAACTGGAGCACTCAAAGGCACCAGAATAGCAAAGAGGTGCATGTGTGCAGGCTGGAACAAAGCTGACATTACTTAACAGGATTTGGGAGGAAAGTGCAGCCTGTTTAAGCTGTTTGGTTCAAAACAAGGGCTTTTTGTGAAGTAAATCCAAGGCTGAGCACACAGATTTGGGTTGCTCCTTACAGATTTCAACCATGAGTCAGCTCCCCCTCTGTGCCTCTGCTGCCTCTGTGCTGGGTGAGCTGATCCCTCTGTACTCCCATAATTGTTGAATGAGGCAAAAATCATGTTGGATGAGGAAAAATTAGCTTTCTCAGTGATTTCCTAAAAAATCAGGTGTCAAGGAGATGCAATGAGCAGCAAGTAGAGGGAGTAGTTTCAGCAGCAGCCTGCAGTTTGATTAGATTAAATATAGCAAATTGTGTTCTGCAATTGTAAATCTGCATTCTGCAGATGTGGATCTGCAGGAAATTGGTGTGTCAGATGAAAATATGTGTATTCATTACTGAAACCAGGGGAACTGTCTCTTACTAAAATTATATCTTCATCAGTTTTCGAAGACTAGGGATGATGAAAAGAGAAAACTGTGATAGATGTTAGTAGTAAATGTTTGGGGGGTTTTGGGGTTTTTTTATTGGTAATGTATTTTATCTTCAGCATACCTGCTTATGGTTTTCCTTGCAGTTCTGTCTAACTTATCAAAGTTCCATGTGCTGTGTTCTTGCAAGGTGGTCATGGAGCACAAATGTGAAAAATACTGGATCAATGCAAACTGTCACTGCTTAATTTGGCCAGCTCACAAAGGATTCATTTCCAAAGAGGAAAAAACTATGGTTTTATGATTTGCTGAAAGACCTTAGAAATCTGCTTGTCTTGAGGTTTTTTCCCTTTCAACCTTCCATGTGATCTTTGATAAAATTACCCTTTTGCCTGTACCTCTGTGTAAGAACAACAATGTCTCAGTGAACTCTTTGGAAAATTACAGATGGGTGGGGAGAAACCAACATCACTAAATTGCATCACATGGCCTGAGGTCACTTTCTTATTTTCAGCAACGGTGATGTCACTGAAGGGACTGAGATCTCAGTTTATTTGGTGTGTAAATACTCTGTAACAAATGGGGGGAAAAAATGAGTAAAGAATGATCAAAGCTGCTGATGGCTGCCTCCGGTTGGCTGTACAGCCTTGAGGCTGCATCATCTCCTTCAGCTGCATCATCTTTCATCCAACAAGATTTGTGTGCTTGGGTGCATTGCCTATTCTATTTTGGTGCTGAAAGGCTCAAGACTTCCATGCTGTCATGTTTAAAATGCTTTTTTAGATATGTGCTGATGAAGTTTAGACTGGAAGTCTCGTGGAGACGTGAAAAACAAACAAAAACAAAGCCAAGGAATTTTTAGCTCTTGGCATGTTTCTCTGCTAGCAGCAGGAGTAAATATAACATAACTTCATGGTATAAGATCCCTCATGTGATATACCCTAGATAAACATGATCGAGTTTTTAGTAGGAAGGGCTGAGTCTGGGTTCTGTTTTGCCAATTAATCCTGAAGAAAATGTACAGCATCCCTTGAGTAATATCTAGAGCATAAGAAATATATCTAGAGCATAACTGAGAATTTCCCCCCAGGAATTGCCTGAGAGGCTGTCACTGCATTTGTTTTGTTTTTAATCCACAAACTGGGACTGTTCATTTCTGTGGATTTAGAGCTGCCTGTCCTCCTCTTATGCTTTAGGCTTTTCCTTGCAATGCCTGGTGCAGGGAAAGGATCCTTTACACACTTGGATTATTCAACAGTCAAGAAGATTGTGACTCAAGTCACATGAGACACTCAAATTAATCAAAACAAAGAGCTCCTGTAATTGCATTAGTGGAGGTTCAGTGCTGAGCCCAGTTTAGTGATTTTGCCTCCTGCAGACAGAGCCAAGGACATCAACAGGAAGCATCTGCTGCTGCACCAGGTCATGCAGATCCTTTTGCATGCCTGAGATGCAGTTCCACACAGGAAACCCTTATGGACCAGTGTTTCTAGATAAAATTCAGTAGGCACATTTCCAGATGCACTTGGGAGGCATAGGAAGAGCAGGAACATGTGTGCACTGCTGTTTTCTGTGATTGGTTTCAAGCTGTGCTTAACTGCAAATGTTTATTGCACTTGAGTGATGGTCACTTGGTGTAATAGTGTTGAAATGTGCCACCATTCAGTGCACTTTATAAGGATACAAAATGAATTTAGAATCTTCCTGCTGCATTTCATTTTTGTTGATGTTATGCAAAAAGGAAGTATAGATTTTAATGGGTAAATATCACTGTTAAGAAATTCTTAACCTTGTCATCTTTAAGCTTAAATTATCAGTTTGGCTTCAGTCTTGTCTTGCAAATTGTCTGTATATGGAAATAGTGTTTAACATGTTGGTTTAGGGCATTTTTCCCTCCCCCAATTTAAAATTAAAATGTTGTGTTTGTACAGTATTTAGGTCAAACCAGATGCTGGAAATTCTGTCTTTAATCACACTGTTTTGATTTTTCTTTTACAGAAAATTGAAGGTCTCAAAGAAACAACCAGTGTAAGTTTCTTTAATTTTTGTAACTCTTATATATTGATTCTGAAATTCACCTTATTTTCTTTGGGAAGTTTTTAAAACCTTTTCACAGAAAAATGAGAATCCAGATTAGGTCCAACATTGTGATGGCAGAGATAACCTGGTTCTGGTGCTGTGTTCAGGTTTCTGTCCAGCACCTCGGGATCATGGAATAGTTGAGGTTGGAAGGGGCCCCTGCAGGTCTGTAGTCCAACCCTGTGCTCAGAGCACCATCAGCTGGAACAGGTGATGAGCAGCAGGACCAAATCTAGTTTGGGTTTTGAGTAACTCCAAGGCTGGAGGCTTTACAGCTGCCCTGGAAAATCTGTTCCAGTGTTTTGTCATCCATAAAAAAATAAAATGTGTTTTGTTCTGTTTAAGGTGGTTTTCCTGTATTTCTGTTTGTGGCCATTGCCCGTCCTGTCACTGGGCTCCACTGAGAAGAGTCTTGCCTGGCTTCCCATTCAGATATTGATCCCCCTTGAAAAGGTCTCCCTGAGCCTTTTCCTCTGCAGATTGAACAGACCCAGCTCTCTGAGCCTCCCTTCCCCTGATAATTCACCTGCCTGCAGCCCTCTGGGGGTTTGAGCTGACCTCCATTTCACCCTGGCAGCCAGCCTGGCTTTGTGCTCTGTGTGCCTTTGGGAACCTCAGTTTGCTGCTGCTGTGCTTTTGTCCCTGAAAAAAAAATGGGGAAGGGAAAGTAGGAATTCAACAGAACTGAGTGTCCATTTAGCTCACACCCAATATTGTATGTAACTAATAAATACAAAATATTAAGTGATAGTAACACAATCTTTTCTGATATTTTTTTTTCCTAGAGCATGGTAGAATCAATAAAACACTGCATTGTGTTGCTACAGATTGCTAAAGTAAGTACACTCTAAACTATTCTGAATTTTAATGATACAGCATTAATCTAATTGAAACCTAAAAGTGCCTTCTGTATGATCCAGGAACAAGAAAACAATTATAAGTTGATTTCTGCTTTTATTTTAATGGAGTTTCTGAAATACTGAGTTCCACAGCAGACAGCTCATGGTAACAGTCACGTTGGTTTGAGTTTTCTTTCAGATAAACTTTCTTTTGCAGAGTTTGCTACTAGACTAAAGAAGAACTTAGACAAATGTCAGGTTGACAGAACAGGAACTTAACAAAACTCTTCTTTCTGCTTCATTTAAGAGTGTGACTAACAAATAAAAAGGGGAGAAAGGTGTTGGAAATAGTGAAACTGGTTTGGCAAGGTCTGTCACAGGTCTGAGTTCATCATGATGTTGGAACTTCTTGAAGTTAGAATTGTTTCATTTGAGAATGCAGTGTGGGTAATGCACTTATGCTTTTCACCTGCATGTTTCATTGGATTTTAAAATTTGGGGAGTTTTGGATTTACTATTTGTCAGATTCTGCCCTTACAGGTTTAACATTCTATATTTAGGATATGTGAATTATGAACTGCTGATTTGTATCTTGTGACCAAAGTGGAGGGAGGTGATATTTTGCAAAGAAATAAAGGTATTTTCAGAATTTCAGGCTGCTCTACCCAGAACACATTCTGATTTATCCAGATATAGGTGTGGGTTCTTAGATTATTTTTTTTTTTCTGTAATTCTGGATCAACCATTTTTTGTGGCTTTGGCATGCAAAACTGCTGTTAGTCTTCATTTTAGATGCCAGATATGTTGTACAAAATTCTGAGTGTAATGAAAGTTGAAGTATTTAGACTCTTACAGGATCCTTTCATTTACTGAAAGGATCAGTGCATGTTTTGTGAAATTCAATTTTCATATCTATTACTTAAAAATTTGTGAAGAAAATGCTCGTTAATTAAGAGGTTTGTAAAAAACCAAAACTTTTTTACAAGCACTAGGGTTGAAACGCTGAAATAGTTTTGTGCCACATGAATTTGGAGCCAGTACAGTTTTTATTTAACATGCAGTGAGGCTACTTCAGTCCTTCACTGTAGTGCCAGCAAGAAAAGCCTTTCAGTATTTAATTTGCTTTTATTTAGTCCTGAATGTATTTAGAGGTGTTTTAGTACAGTGAAGTCAGTTGACAATGTCATTTTTAGGGATTTGATGGAGTCAATTGTAGCTAGGTTAGATGGTAATATGCTGATTTCCTTATCTAGATGTGATTTGCTGTATTGAGGAAGCTGTTGGACAAACTGCAAGGAATTATTAGCTTATTTTTTCTTAATTACTGTATAAATGTATTTAGTAGTTCTTATTTTCACAGGGGTTTAATTCCTATGAAATTTTGCTCCTTTTCAAAACCTCTGCTATGTAATTTTAGCAAGTGTGAAATTGCAGAGTTATAATCTGCTTTTCAGGCTGTTGATCAGAGCTGGTGACTGAGTTATCTTTCTTGTTTCTGTTGAATATCAAATCCTGTTTCTGCTCTGCGTGAATTCATTGGGAGTCACACAAATGTGACCACTTATGCTGATGCTAAAACATATTTTGGAGTTCTTTAGGTGGTTTGCAGATAATGGACAAAGCTGGGAGTGGCAGATGCAGCCCTTTAGGTCAGGTTCAGTCCTTTACTGCTCCAGCTGCCCTGTGAGTGTAAAGGCAGGTGGAATTTGAGTCCCCCAAAGTGCTAACACTTGCTTTTTGTTGCACTAAATCAGACCTTGAAGTGTTTCTTTCAGTACCACTAAATATTAACCAGAGTAAATAGGTGAGCTTATCCACTAAGCAGTGGGGGTTCATTGTTTTGGTGTTTTGCTAAACCACATCTGAAGCTCTTTTGGAGCTGTTGAAGACAAGGTGGGTTAAAGGGGTGCCTTATGCACAGCTAATTGCAAGATGCTGATTCACATATAGTGAAAATAAAATTCCCAGTACTTTAATAACCTCTTTTCTGCGTCATCTCTTCACCTTCTTTGTCTCTCAGGCAACTCTGCTTTTTAACCACAAGGGAATTCTGTCTTCCTTCACCTTTTCCATTAACTGTGTTAGTATCCTGATTTCCTACTGCTGTAGAAAATTTATAATACAGAGGGATTTGGGTTTTTTTCCTCCCCAGAGTTCTGCAAGTTGTTTGTGTATGATGCAATCTCTGTGTAAAATTGTGCTGTGCCTGGCTGTAGCTTTGTGCTCTCCAGTAGAAACCTTTCGAGATTCTGCAGGTTTTTTCCCCAGATCTGTAGAGCAGGTGTGGCTGCTGACTGACACTGCTGAAAAGAAATCATCTTAACACCACCCTGCACCCCATTTTTACTTCCTTTTACTCTGCTTTACTTTTACAGCGCCTTTCTCATTAGCAGATAGATTTGCCAATCTGTACCTTGATAGTGTTACCCCTTCTCTACATACTTAAAACTCTATTTCCAACACATGACCATTTATTATGTTGATTATTTGGAACATTGAGGCAAATCTGGACTTTTGTTTATTGGAGTTTCCTTTTGTTTCTTTTTTAAATTGTGTTCAGTTGCTCTGTTTCATGGATTTTTACCTGTGTTAATATTTGGACAGTTAAATTTTCATTAAACTTGCTGGTAAATAGTCTGTAATTACACCACTCATACTGAGGTGACTCACGACATTTCCAAAATAATGAACTAAATACCAGCTAAACAGGAATATGTCATGGCACATTCATTGCTTATCAAATAGCAGTCAAAATAAACAAAGTGGGAGCAAAATAATATACAAAATAAAAAAAAGGTGGAGCATTTGGCCTGTGTTGTCCCCTTTGTGTGTGTGGCAGCTGAAGATGTCCAGCCCTGCTGATGTGTGTGATGTAAAATCCATTGAATGTTCTGCCAGTGATGTGGTAAAACTCAGTCTTAGAAATGTATGTTATATATGTGTTATGAAGTACCTTTTATAATTTAGATATTTCGTTCTGCATCCTTCCCTTCTCTTTTCCTCTCCATTTCTGGCAGTCTTGCCTGCCCAGTTTTGGGGAATTTCTGCCTTCCTTACCTTAGTGATGCATTACTGAGGTGGGACAGCAAGCATCAGTGCTCATGCAGCATCTTTGTGGTTTTTTCTTAGGTCTTAAGTTTGTGGATACAACATGGAGGGGTTTTTTTTTGTGTTGGGGAAAAAAAAAATGTGTTTTGTAAATTTACAACCCAGTGGAACTTTTTGTTCTTTTGAATGCCAGACTTCAAAAATCTCAACCAGCAGAGATGAAATTTGGACAGCCTATTGCCAGCTGTATAAGCTAAGGAAGGATGTATTAAGTATCAAAACATAAATATGTGCCAATTTCCTTTATACTTCTTACAGTTTTTTTTCTTGTTCCTTTCAAATGTAACTGGAAATCCAGGGGAATACCCTGCAGGCAAGTTTTGAGGTTCACACTGGATAAAGTTAGGTATTGATGTACTGACTGATATGAACTTTGCAGCAGCAGCGAAGAGATTTGGTTTAGTGTTCAGTAAATTTATACTGGTGCTGCTCAGTGCTAAAACTGTGCTGGCTCAGATTGGCATTAAAGGTCTGCTGCTCGTGCCATTCCCCTGAGGACAGATGTTTTTACATTGCCTGCTCTTTCATTTATGCTTCTGGGCAAAAAACCCCAAAATCTGAGCTAGTGAATGATCTTAAAGCATTTTAAAATATAGTGGATGCCAAAAAGTCCCAGTTAAAATCTTTCAAATTAAACTTCTGCCTCTCTTGTGTGTTAATCTCAGAAACTGAGAACTTCATTTTTATAGGAGCTCCAGAGCATATTTTGAGGAGCTCCTGGGTATTGGGAGCACCCACATTATAAAGCAGAGCTGCACTCTGCAGTAGAGAAAGGATATTTTTTAAATTGTCTGCACTCATGTGGACAGGCCCTCAGAAAATGCTGATCCTCAGAGGTGCAGTGACTGGGTGTGGAATTGTCCTCCAAGTTTAGTTGCTGTGTCACAAGATGAGGAACATTTTATGGCTGAAAATGTGAACATTCCTGAGGGAAACTCGCTGTTCTCACTTAGCACAGAACTGATAAGTCATGCAAGATTGTTATGTTGATATTTTTAACATTTTTTCCTTAAGGACCAAAATAATGAGGAGAAGCACGCAAATGGACTTATAGTAAGTTTAAATCTAATCTTTATCTCCTTTTAATTCTGCAGAACATGTGAACAGAGACCTGAATTTCCACTCACTTTGCAACGTGCTTCTTCCTTTCTCTAATTTACTGCTTCCAGTGTCTTGTTAAAATTCCTGTTGAGTCCTTAGGTTGGCTAACCCTTGTCTTTAGAAGATAGAGTGGTCACTTTTGTGTGGAGTGTCTTGAGCAGCAGTGTTGTGACTGAACACTTAGATAAAAATCTGCCATGTGAACAGATGAAAGGGAAATTACTGGGATAGAAATAGTTCTGTGTTCTGTCTGAAGTGTCTTTGTGTAGGAAATAGATCTGCTCTCCGTGTGCTTCAAGTAGTTTGTCTTTCCTACAGTGCTGCTCCTTTGATGCAGAGTTGTGTAATGTCTGTCTAAGCAATGTTTCTTCTTCAATAGAACTGCTGCATTTTTAATGTAACTTCTGTCATTTTTGGTTTTGGTCACACATGGTTTCTCTTTCTTTGTTCTTTTTTTGTCACTTGAGTACATTTCAGATATTTTTAATAGGAGATTGGTTTCAGTAAAAATCTAAAAATCCTGATGTGTTTTCATTAGAGCTGTCAGTGATTCCCAGGCCTTTGTTGTTTGTCCACTACAAACAGATTTAGCAGTTGGATTTTCTGGTGTGAACATTGGACTGAAGATGCACATGCACATTTCAGTTTTGTGCTTATCACAAATAAGTGAATTATTATGTACCCTGCAGATGGAACATAATTCAGGTCTTAGTGTGAGGGAACAGCTTCTGTGATGTCCCTGGAAAAGAGAGGCTGTGCAGGAAGGCACTTCCACAGGCACAGTGACCTGCACATCTGGGCTGCAACTCAGAGATTTCATAGAGATATTGCAGCTTGATATAGTCTGAATTTGATTAGCCACTGATCTCATTATCTGTGGGCTGGCCTGTACTGGGGAGGAAAAAATATTTCTGTAAGAATATATTAACTGTGGGTCAGTGATTGTGAAGTCTGAAATTGCGATGCTGTGAAGGTCAACATCACCTTGGGCTGAAAGTCAGGATTTCACTTTAAACTTAGGCAGAAATAGAATCATTGTCTGCTGCCATGGTGGGATGAGTCTTGTTTCTGTGTAATTGTTATTCAATTGTTATTAAACTCAGAGCAGGAGACTTTCAGCTTTCAGGTCTGCCTTCAGCTGTTTATAGCCCATGAAGGCATCCCTCAAATATCCAACATGGAACTCCAGTTCTTGTTGCAGAATGGAGAATTGTTTAAGGATGAGGTTACAGCCCTGAATAGAAAACCAGAGTTACTTTGTTCTTTCTTTATCACACCAGTCTTCTGTACCACGTGGATTAATCATTTCCCTGAAAAATAAAGGAGATGTAGGTAGCAATAGCATCCTGTTATCACAGAACCATCTTGGGCTTTAAGTCTTAACTCTTAAGATGGGATCATCATTTTAAACTGTGAATTCTGTGGGACAGGAACCTTCCTGTGCTGAATACATAATTCCACAAGGAGGTGAAGTACTGGGTAAGGGACATTGCCTTTATGCTGGAATGCAGTGGAGAAATATTACCTGTACTGGATTATTTGTAGTAGTAAAACCAATGAAACTGTAGAAAGCTGATTTATGGATGTTTTTAATGGAGATTTTTTTTTAGTGATAAGCAGAGAATAATTGTTCTGTTTTTAGTTAAAGAAATCCTGTTCTATGAAAAAAAAAATAATAGAACTTTTCACTGATTTTTAGAGTCATACAGTGTCCTGAGTTGAAAGGGATCCCCAGGGATCATAGTGCTCCAGCTCCTGGCTCTGCACAGGACAGCCCCAGGAACCACTCCATGTGTCTGAGAGCATTGTCCAAACATCCAAATGTAGGAAAAAGTTCAGAATTTCAGGTAACTGGGAAAGAAGGCAGGAAAGGAATCTGCCTTTAGTAGGAAAATGGGAAGAAGGTTAAAATGAGCCTGTTTCCCTCAGTCTGAATGCAAATAGATATTAATGGAACAAAGGGAGAGGAGAACATTTGTAGACACTTCTTTTAATACTGGTGTAAAAAAAAGGATAGGGATGAGCATACTGACTGAAATCTGAGCAAAAACTTTCATAGTTCTGATAGATCAGGCATTTAAATTGCAAGGTGCTTAGAAAAAGGTTTTATGTGCCTTTTACTCAACTAACAACCAAGAAGTTCTGATGGTTGTGTGTAAACATAAATAACAAACAGTGCCTAGATGATATTTTGGGTTAAAAGACAAGGCAGTTCAGATTTCCAAGGGTCTAGATGCATAAAAACCAAGGACATTTTCTGAAGTCAGTGACTTTTGGGAGCACTTAATGGACCTGGTGCTTCATTTTCCAAGTGCCCACATTCAGAAGTAGGTTGAGATGTCCTCTCCTGAGCTGCACTGAACACTGTCAGCTTGCTTTGGGAAGAATTTTGCCAACAAAGCTGCTTCATGGCTCTAAGCATGCTGATGATTCTTGTTTTGATTTATGGGTTGATCTGCAAAATGAATTTTTGAGAAAGTAAAAATTTGAAAATACCGATAATCTATGCTAATTTTGGCCAGATAATTTGCATCTAACTTTCCACTCTTTGCATGCATTATTAATTAAGGGACATTGGGTGGCATACCAGAAGCAAGAACCTGAAATAAGAATTCTTTATAGGACGCTTCAAATCTGCATCAAATCCAATTTATTGTGCAGTCTGTGTAAAGAATCAAAATTTTCCCACCTCCAAAGTATTTCTCATGTCCTCAACTGTCAGTTTGTGTTTTACGTCCTCTCTCAGGAATTCTCTCTCTTGCATTTGGGCATTTCTCATGCTCACAATGTTCTTGCTATCTATGCTTTATTCTGTTTTAGTTTAGGAAAATAATGTGCTTTTCTTTTTCTTGCCTAGAGCACCATCAACCCCGTGGACGCTGTGTATCAGCCCAGCCCCTTGGAGCCATCAGGGATCAGCACCATGCCCTCCCAGGCTGTGACACTGCCAGGTAGGCTGGGGACAGCCCCCTCCCAGGCTGTGACACTGCCAGCTGGGCTAGGGACAATCCCCTGAGGTCCCAGGCTGTGACACTGCCTGGGAGGGGACAGCCACCCAGAGCAGTGACTGCACACTCAGCTCAGAGGGGCTGAGCAGGGGCAGGAGCACAGAGCATTCTCACCAGCCTGGTTCTGGGGATAGGCTGATGTGTTTTATTTGCTCTCAGTTACTGGCTTGCATTTCTAACACTCCTTTTTAAAATGAAACTGTGATTTTCAGAAAAGGCAAATGCTTTCTAGCTAAACAAATGCAGGTTTTTTTAGATGCCATCCTTGGTTAATAATAAAAGGACCTAGGTATGGCTTTTGTAGAAAATGATTTGATTTTTGGAGATGAGGTGAAATAATGTGGAATCTCCTGAATTTTGGGGTTAACATGTCCAAATCTCCCCTAGAACCTGCTCAGCTGTGCAAGTCAGAGCAGAGACCCTCCTCTTTGCCAGTGGGACCTGTGGTAGCATCACTTGGGAACCAGACTCCAACACCAAACAGTACAGGTACAGTTCTGGGTAACTTCTATTGAAACACAAGAAACCCTGTAATTAGTCATTAAAACAATATTATTGGCCTGCCTCTTGCTTTTGATCAACACCAATTTCAATGTTTTGTTAAAACCAGTAATGCTGCTCTTTCTCCCCGCCATATATACACAATATGTATGAGTTTTACCAGATTCCCTTTGTCTCCCCAGCATTGCAATCCTGCAGTAACTGAGAAAACATGTCCCTTAAACTTTACTGGGGTTCTGTGCTCTTCATTTTCCTTGTGACTTTCCTTTTGTCAACTATTAAACTCTTTATGAACCTGCCTAATTATTGCTTTTAATTTTGTACTTTCCTCTTCTGAGTTTATATCAGCCTTTATTGATTTGACCAATTCTTGTTTAAGTAGATTTCGAAAGAATTCATTTTTATTGTTTCTGTAATTTTTAATACTCCACAGGGAGTGGGCAGTCAGCACCTAGCAGCAGTCTCACCTCTCCAAGCCATGTCAACCTGTCTCCAAATACAGTCCCAGATTTTTCTTACTCGAGCAGTGAGGATGAGTTCTATGATGCTGATGAGTTCTACCAGAGCAGTTCTTCCCCAAAGAGATGCATGGAGTAAGTGGCTGGCAGTGTGCAGTGTGTGCAGTCTGTAGCTCCAAGGACATGCCTTGTCTGCTTGCAGAAATTGCTTTAAAAAGGTGGGGGAGGTCAAAAACCACTTTGTGTAAAGATTGAGATTCCCTGCCCTCAGCCACAGACAGCTAGAGGGAGGCAGTTCCTTCCTCTGCTCCTTCCCATTCCATCAGATCTGTGTTCACAAACTCTAACAAACCAAACTCTGGAAGCTCCCAGCTCAGAGCTGTAATCTGAGGCCGTGGTGCATTTCACAAGCATTTGCTGCAGCCTTTGCTGAGGGACCAATTGTATTGTTTGAAGTTGGCACCCTTTTCTCAAAATCTCTATTTACTCTTCATTTTTTATTAATTGAAAAATTAATTTTAAGAGATGCTACACATTCCAGAGAGGGATTAGTCAGCTGGTTTCTGCCTTCATGTGTTATCTGAGGCTGCAGGCTGTCCCATCCTTCAGCTGCAATCCATTCTGAGCTCTCTGTGAATTAGCATGCACCGTGTGTCTTAATGTCTGCCACTGCACAGTTATTGATGTCTATCACTAAATTCCCTGTCTGTGAATGACAATAATTTGGTCTGAATTACTTAATTTGAACTGTGAGAATTTATTAGTGTTCTGTAGTTCTTCAGGGTCTGCTGCAGTCCTGACTCGGAGCAGCACAGGGAGCAGCCTGAAACGTCCAGACACCACAGAGTCCCTCAATTCTTCCATGTCTAATGGCACAAATGATGCTGGTAAGTGGCCTGTGTCACCTTTCAGTAAGGAGTTATTGATTGTTCATCTCTGTGTAAACTGGGTCAATATATGCAGGATTTTATATATCTCTGTGTGTGTATGTATATGGCAAGGTACTTATGGGAAGTGCTTTAATTACTGTTTCTTTACTAATGGAAGATTGCTGAATTGTAGGATTTAAAACCTGTATTTTTGGACATATATGCTAATGAAATCCAGTCTGGTTTGAAGGTTTAGAGGAAAACAAAAGCCATTTCTTTGGTCTTTCAGATCTCTTTGATCCTCCCGACGATCGAGAAGATGATGGGGAGGGAGAGTCGGTGGAGGAGCACAAAAGTGTCATCATGCATCTCTTGTCACAAGTGAGATTAGGCATGGACCTCACCAAGGTAAACTTGCTGGGGTTCCTGGGGATGGGAGGGGCACTAAACCCAGAGTTCTGTGTAAGAAAATGTTCCATAATTTAACTGCATGTTTGTTCTAAGAGCTGGTGAAGCTGTAATCTCTTTAGCATGGTGCTTTTGAATTGGAGTTCTTACTGGAAGGGGAAGAGTAGCTGCAGAATAAGTATATCCAGATGCTAAAATCTGTTTGGGAAAATAGTTTGCTATGGAAAGTAGCTGTTTGTTCTCTTTGAACCCAATTCTTGGAGTGCTTGTGAAGCTGGCATAGGGACAATGCTGAATTGTTACTCCTGTCTTTGGCTTCCTAGAACAAAGAGATCCAAGATCCCAAGATAAGGTGGCATTCAATAAAACATTAAGTGAAAGGGAGAAGTAACCATATGGTAAAAAGCTTGGCTTGGTTGGGATCTTAATGAGGAAATAAGTTGCCTGTGTGTATTTTGAAGTGCTACACTTAGGTCTGGCAAGGAGAGGGTTGGGTTCTTCATGGATGAGATTCATGCTGGTGTCTGTCTGCAGGCACAATGAGCAGCATTCTGAGGGTGTTGGTCTTTCCAGGCAGCTTGGATAAATTTAAGCAAGTAATTCCAGAGTGGGAAAGGGCAGGAGAGATCAATCCTTATCCATAAGTGGATGAATTGAACTGTCCAGCCTGGAATGAACAGGAGATAATAAAAAGATAACACTTTTCTGGGGAAACAGGCAGCAACTCAAAAGCAAACAGCTCAGGGTTTCTGACAGTTCTGAACAGGAATTGATCCAAACTGTGTCTGTTCTGGGAATTCTTGGGGTAGCTGAAAATTACTGATCTCAAATTAGGCTGCCAGGAATCTTTATGAGATGTACCTTGTCAGCAGCAGTAATTGGGGGTGGATCACACTGAGCAGATCCACAATGGACCTTTGGGAGGCAGTAGGGAAGAGCTTAACCTTGATCTTGATGAGACATGCAGCAGGATGGGACTGCAAGGGAGTGTTTGTAACTGAGAATTGACAGTGTTCACAGAGATGGAATGAAATCAGCAGAGAAACTGGAATTCAGAACAGCTTTTGATGTGCTCTGAGTGGGACTAGAATCCATGTAGGATGAGACTGTTCCTGTTAAACCTTAGGGTTTGGAGAAGGTGCCAACTGACCTGCATCTGTCAGAACTCATTGGTGAGCTCAGGCTCACAGTCAGCTGAGAGCACACCATGCTGTGGCTGCTCTGTTTGCTATTTGCACTTGGCTTTTGTACAGGATATTGAAATGCCTTCAGCTGGATGAGTTGTTTTCCTTCACCCAGGTGGTTCTCCCAACGTTTATCCTGGAAAGGAGGTCGCTGTTGGAAATGTATGCTGACTTCTTTGCACACCCAGACTTGTTTGTCAGGTATGTGACTTTGGACTGGAGCATTCACTGCTTCTCATGCTGCCTTGTGGGCTGCCACAGGTTGGTAGTTTTGAAGAATATTGCTTGGATTTTGGTTGAAAAATGATTTGACTGTTCAAAAAACAGTCAAATCAGCCGAACTTGTAGTAGTAAAACAACCAAGCACCCATAAAACTTCCCTGTATCCAAGGTCCCTGCTTATATTTCACTCTGCCTGTCCTTTTTTTTCTCTCTCTCTGTAGCATCAGTGACCAGAAGGATCCCAAGGAGAGGATGGTCCAGGTGGTGAAGTGGTACCTCTCAGCTTTCCATGCAGGAAGGAAGGGCTCAGTTGCTAAGAAGCCTTACAACCCCATCCTGGGGGAGATCTTCCGCTGCCACTGGGTGTTGCCTGGCACTGAGGATGACATGGTGAGTTTCTTGTGGTGGTTTTTGGAGCCCACAATGCAGAGATGCCACCCAAAGCTTTGTTAAGTCACTGCCTGAAATGGATTATGCTGTGCTTAAGTAGCAAATCAACAAACTTGAGCAATTTCTTAACTAATTCTCCCCATCCTTCCTTGTTTTCTTTTGACAGAAGTATAAATCTTGCATAACAAATTTTACTGTTTTTTAAAGAATGACTTGATGTGTTGAAAGTGTCCTTTTTCCCTGAACTGTTTCATAGCACGAATTATGAATTTGTTTATTCTCAAAGTTCTGATTTTTTGCTTTTATTTTTTGAACCAGTGCAGCCCAGAGGGATTTTTTGTTGTTTTTCTTTTTTGGTACCTCATTTGGGCCTCTTGCCTGAGGAAGTTGCCAGTGGTGGTGTGGGAAGTGCTGCTGTGAGGTGCTTCATGCAGCCCCAGTGTAACATATCCAAGTCAATGTGATTATTTGGGTATAAGCCATGCATTTTTCCCATTTCCTTCCCACTGATCTGTTTGCTGAAATCTTGTTTCTGAGGTGAATATTTGCACTCCAATTTGCTGGCATAAAGGCAGTGTTGTATTTGGGCTTCCACTGCTTCCAACCACGAATTAACTACACTTTGCATTCTTTGCCACAGGAAATAAATATTAGTTTATGGTTTTGTGGTACATGGAATCTGATCATTATTAATGTGCAGATCAGACTTTTTCAGAAGCAAAAGCAAAAACTGTTTCTGCCACTTAAATATTATTTATTTTGTAATTGGGTTTCTACATGAGTCTTTCAATTTAACTGTTTTTTCTGGAGACAATTAAAACAAAGACATTTATACTTAAAAATAAGAGAGTGGATCCTTTAGAAAGGATCATAGTTCCAGGGTAAGGAGTCCTGCAGTACATTTTAGAAGCCTTTAGAGATGGAGGCAGCTTCTCAGGGAAGCCTCCAGTGTTGGCAGGCACTGAGTGATGGGATGCTCTGCCCTGCCCACAGGAGCCAGTCTCTGAAGGACCAGTCCCCTGGGTCAGCAAAAGCAACGTCACCTTTGTGGCAGAGCAGGTCTCTCACCATCCTCCAAGTAAGTTGTGACAACACCTTTGCCTTGAGAGGGGGTTCAGCAAAATCAGCTCTTGGCTTAAATCCTGGAGTTACACTTTCTCTCCAGATATAAAAGCTGAATATTTATAAAGGCTGAAAAATTATAAACTGCTTTTGTGAGAAATTGCAAACTCTGTTACACATTAAGTGTGAGGCACCTGGGGATATTTCCCAGTGGATGAATTTGGGAACAAGGGTATCAGTGTCTTGTGCTGCTGTTTTTAATACCTGCCTCTCTCTTCAGTTTCAGCATTTTATGCAGAGTGCTTTAGCAAGAGGATACAGTTCAATGCTCACATATGGACCAAGTCCAAATTCCTAGGAATGTCTATTGGGGTTCATAACATAGGGCAAGGTATGTGTGTGCAAACTGAGCAGCAGAGGAGAAATTCAATTCTGCAACTAGGATTTTTCATAGAATAATTAATGTAAATTATTCTAAGTCATGGTACTAAATGTAAGCAGTGGTTGAATTTATGTAACTGGAGCTTATGTATCTGAATTAGAGATTCCTTCCACACTCTCTGTGTGCTGAAAACACCTAGGGCCCAGTTTTTCCCAAAAATACTGCCATCCCTGCCTCCTCCAGAAGCTGGGCATTCTCAGCATCCATTAAAAATGAAGCTCCTCCACCTTTCCTTTTCATGGCACCTGTTTTTAATGGCATATTTCAGGAGATCATTCTGAAAAGTTCTGTAGAGGTTTTGCTTAATGTTTTTCAAATCTTATTTTTATTTTTCTTTAATAGGGTGTGTTACATGCCTAGATCATGATGAACACTATATTTTGACTTTTCCTAATGGCTATGGAAGGTAAGTAAATGTTCTAATTATTATTTTCATTTTGAATGCCTTGTAATGTTTCATGCTTAGTATTTATGGGTCAAGAGCTTATCATGGTGTGCATTTCTGTGTTTGTAATTGCAGGTCTATTCTCACTGTGCCATGGATAGAGCTTGGGGGGGAGTGCAGCATCAATTGCTCAAAGACAGGTTACAATGCTTCCATTGTCTTCCACACAAAACCATTTTATGGAGGAAAGAAGCACAGAATTACAGCTGAAATTTTGTAAGCAGCTTCCTTCATCTCACTTTTCCCTCCCTTAAGTGCCAACAGCTTTAACAAGACAGTCAAGAGTGTAAAATGCTGAAGCAGCAACACCCAGAAGAACTTAGCTCATCATTACCTGTCATAGAATTTTATTGCCAAGTTTGGGAGAAGAAGCTGCACAGGTCTGTGTCCTACTTTGTGCTGCTTGGAAACATCCTCAGCTGGTTCCCAAAGGAACTTTGCTGTCCTGAATTATCAAAAGTGCCTCCATCATTACCTTTCCTACAAATACAAATACTGCAGCAAGCCTGGGATACTGCCCATAGTGTGTCAGTTGCAAACTTCACATATTTCACCTGTGGTGTGGTGGATTTTGGTTAAACCCTGTGCACATACCCAGCACAGAGAATTCAGTGGAGATTCCCATTGTATTTGGAGATGTGCTGTGATGCCAGCAAGTGGATGCTGACAAAATGAGGTTTAACTTGCTTTTAAATCATTGACACATTGATAGATGCCATTTAAAAACTGGTGTCTTGTGTTTCCCTGGAAACCTTTTTAAGCTTAAACTCACCACCCTAAATCTGTGTGGAAGGCCTGTAACTGCTTTCCTAAACTCTAAATGCAGATCCAGCCCTGGGGCAAGGCCTGGTTTGCCCTGATCAGGGCTTCCTGTTAAGGTTTATGTAATTCACTCAGGCCAAACTGCCCCCTTGTGAACAGAACCCTCCTCTTCTGGGCTGGGCAGGGACTCTTAGATAGAGAGAGAGATTAGATAGAAAGATTAGATAGATAGATAGATAGATAGATAGATAGATAGATAGATAGATGGATGGATACCAGGCTTTACAGAAGACCAAGTTTTGATCCTTTAGGGTTTTTCAGTTGCTGTAATACAGCTGAGAAATGACTGTTTGTTTCTCTTTAGTTCTCCAAATGACAAGAAACCCTTCTGCTCCATTGAAGGAGAATGGAATGGGGTCATGTATGCAAAGTACTCCACAGGGGTAACACAGCTTGCTTTCTTTTTTCTCTTTTCATCAGAAATACAAGATTGTACTTAGAAAGGGGGTTTGGGGTGGTTTTGTAGGCTTGGGATTTTATTTTAAACAAACATTAATAGTTGGAACCTCCTATGAGGCTGTCCAAAAGAATGCTGAACTGGGGATAAAACTTGTTCATTTATTCTTAAGGAAGCTTGATTTCTATACAAGAAGAGAATCTGAAAAATTGCCATGTTTCATGTAGTTCCTGCTAAGCAGTGCACTAGAGTGTAGAACATTTGAAGTCTAGCTAAAGAACTGAGTAGGTTTATTTCTGTTTCATCTTCCACTCCAGGAGAATGCTGTCTTTATAGATACCAAGAAAATGCCTACAATAAAGAAGAAGGTAAGGAAATTGGAGGACCAAGACGACTTTGAGTCTCGCTGGTAAGAACTTCAGTTTACTGGGAACATTAAGGTTTTATTTTAGTTAGACTCCAGTTTGCAGTACAGGGACTAAAGCTGCACTGATCCAAGCACTGCATGCTCTGCTCTCCCTGAGCCCAGGTACAGGCAGGCTGGGGATTTAAGGGGCAAGAGGAGACCTGGAGTTCTCTGTCACATCCTAATTGGGATCAAATGTTCAGGAAGGTCTGGAGAGCTCCACCACAACCTCCTCCCTCCTGCCATAACAGCACAAATCTCAAATATCCTGAGGGCTTTTCTGTCCTTTCTCTAACCTGAGATCTACCTTTAGTCACTGCTATGTCTCAGACTGTAGCACTCTGCTCCCGTAAAAGTCTCCCTTGCCCTTTCTCTTTGAAGCCTATGGAAGGATGTCACCTACAACCTGAAGATCAGAGACATCGACGCAGCCACGGCGGCCAAGCACGCGCTTGAGGAGCGGCAGAGAGCCGAGGCCAGGGCCAGGAAGGAGAACGAGACCTCCTGGGAAACGAGGGTGAGCTTTATTGCAGCAGCTCAGCCTGTGGCCTTTGTTCCTTTCTGGAGTCACAAAAAGCTCACCCGTGGTTCTTCCTTTGCAGTTATTCCACGAGGACGGGGAGTGCTGGGTGTACGACGAGCCGCTGCTGAAGCGCCTCGCTGCCAGCAAGCACTGAGGGGTGAGCCTGGCCTGGCCTGGGCTGGCAGGGCTGGGCTGGCAGGGCTGGGAGCTGAGCCCACACCCACAGCGATGCCGATCACGTCCCCAGCCCAGCCCTGCCCTCCTGCAGCTGCAGCAGTTCCTTTCTCAGGGATTCTGGACTTACTGAGACAGACAAAGCAATTCACGAGAGGCTGAGCAGCTCCGGGCAGGGACTGGCTCTGGTGGCAGTGCCCAGCTCAGGCCTGGGGCACACACACTGTGTAACCACTGTGAAGGCCACGGCGCTGGGAGCAGTTGCATCATAATCCTGGGTCCTGCATATTTAAAAAGCAAGGAACAAAACGCAAGGTGTCATTTAAATCTCGCTGATGTTTGCAATGTGTAAATAGGAGGATTCCTCCGATGGGACAATTTGTTAGGAAATGCTACATCAATGTTATCTTCCACCTGTATGATAATCAAATCTTTTGGCATTTCAGTGTCTTGCCCAAAATAACTGTTATTTTGAGATTGAAATGTAACCATAGATAATTCTACCCAATGCATCTTAAAGCTTCATAAAATAGATTTTTCAAACTTCTCTTATGGACTTTTTATTTCTTTCATAATAAACCTTTGCAGGAAGACTGTTTTCCAGTTGAGTCATGATAAATTAATTATGTGAGATATATAAGAGGGATTCGTTTTTCCACTGGAATAATCCTTGCAGCTAGCTAAACCTACTTCTTAAAGTAGCTCATGAAGTAGCAACATGAGCATCTGCAGCATCCACAGGAGAAGTTTTCTGGACTCTGCAGCCAGGCTTTCCAGCACATCAGGAACCTCTGCATTGTGTGCTTTGCTGCAGTTAACAATGATTGAGTAAGTAGCTAGATGTAGCAATCAAACTACTTTTCTCTCCACAGTTAAGTCTAGCTTTTATTTGATTTCATCTTAATTTTGTCTATGTTGCACATACAGAAAAACTACAAAAGCAGTGTGAGTTGGAAGCCTTGGGCTGTTCTCCCCCTCCCACGCACCGTCCCTGCTCCAGGAGCGCTGCAGATCCTTCCTGAGGAGCTGTCACTGCTGCTGAGGAGCTGCTGCAGCTCTGCAGGGATGGTGCAGGCCAGGCTGGACACGAGGGCAGAGCCCACAGCTCCAGGCAGTCAGGGCTGTGCCTCTTCTTAATGAACTTGGGAAGGTGATGAGAGCTTGGCTGGAAACTTGAGGAAAGCTTCCTCAGTGTCTGAATGGGCTCTTCATCCCAGCTACCACTACAGCTCTGGTTTAATAAAAAGAGGTTTGTCATGTTGATGTTGCAGAAAGCACCTGTATTACACGGCAGGGCAGGGCAAGGTATCAGTTTTATTTCAGTATTTTATGGTAAGGGAGAACATTCAGAGTTGATGTGTAGGCTTTGATGTCCTTGATGGAAGTAAAGTCACGCATCAAAGAGGAGGGGGGCAGTAAAACAAGATGAGGTATTTCACCAGATGAAGAGTTCTGTCCTGAGACAGCTGTCACCTCTGAGTCCCCTTCGTGCTTTCCATATCCAATCACCTGGAAAAAGGGACCAGAAGAGAAATTGGGATCTCATTCAGTGTTTCTATGCCCTGACAATTAACTTGAGATACTGAAATGCAATTCTGACAAGAACACTACTTATAAATGAAGAAAATGTGGATAACCAGAGTGAAGTTTCATCACAGATCTCCTCTCCCACACTCTTACTGCACTCTGCTTCTTGAAGGTGGCAGCAGGAGCTGACAGACACTCACATGTACACTGAGCACTTTCCTCTGGTTGCTTCTGTGGTCTTGGAACCAGTTGACCAGGTCTGCTTGTGTAATAGACTTGAGAGCTTCAATCTGAAACCCACAGCAAGGAGGTTTTAGCAGCACAGTGGCAATTCAAGTAATTTTAAACATTAAAATATTTCCTCTGCGACCTCTACTCCACTGGATAAAAGAACCTTTTTAAAAGAACATGTAATTTTAGAGCCAGTGTGTCACTAGTAGCATAAATCCCATTTATGCTTTTGAAACTGCTGCAAAAAGCAGTGTGTTTTTTGTGTCCCAGGGCTGCAGGACACCCACCTCCCGTGCCAGCCTGTCAAACAGGTACTGCTGGGTCACCACTTCATTCCAGTTCCTGTCCACTTCTTCCCCAAGGTGGGAGTCTTCACATTCCTTCAGTTTTATCAAAGCTGTTACCTACATGGGGAAAAGAGAATTAGCTTTAATGGGTTTCAAACTACCTTCATTTAACATCAGTCACTGCAGTTGAGAGAAAAGCTGAATTACATCAGCGAAGTAGCTCCTTGCTTTTGGAGCTTAACTGCAAATGGCCAGAGAATGGATGTTTAGGGAACAACAGCAGAACAGAGCAAGAGGCAGAGTTTAAAAGGTGAGGCCTTTATCCAGAAAACCTCAGAGAATCACCAGATAGCTGGAACTGAATCATGCAGCTCAAAGAAGAGCTTTTCAAGATGATTTTTTACCTGGGTGTTAAATGCCTCTTCAGTTAAATCCTTGATTTTCTCTTCAAAGCAAGAAAGAAACTCCTCTATTTTCCTGTCAACCAATTCAGAACTAAAAGAGAAACAAATCATTTAATTAGGCAGGAAAAACCAACCAAATAAAAATCCACAAAATATTAAGGGGTAAAGTAGCAGCCCCCATATGATGAGCAAGGGAGAGGCTCACTGCTGTTATTCCCTGAAAACTCATCTGACAACACCTGGTGGTCAGTTTGTGCAGTGCTCTCATTTTCAGCTGTGCCCAGGCACCCCAGGAGCCTCTGCTGTGATGCTGCTGGGGCCCTGCTGTGCTGGGGTCCTGCTGTGCTGTCCCCAGCTGCAGCCCTCAGCCCTGCACAGTTAGGAGCTCTAGGATTGAAAGAAAATGTGATGTGCTGGATCCTGAGGCTTCTGACACATTAAAACCCTCACTGATGACAAACAACACCTCAGTAGTGGAAGTGTCCAAATGTAAAAATGAAAGGCAGCAGCACTGTGCTAATTAAGCTTTCACTGTTATTTTTCACAAGTGGCACATTTTCTAAAAAATCCTGCAACTCTGGCAGGTCAAATGCCTGTAGTTCAAAGGGCCAGGTTTGAACAAAACCATAACAGTGCTGTGCCTGCTGAACATGAGCCACAGGAACAGCTAGGCAGGATTTACAGGATTTGAACTGGCAGAATAGCTCCAAAAGGGCAGGGGATATTTTACTTAGTCTTGAGATTACTTTTCACTACTCAAGTCAGGACCACTGCAGTTTTAAGAAACCTGAGGCTACTGTTTTATTCAGGTGCTGGTTTTGAGTCAGGATGTTGTGACTGGCAGCAGTGTCCCTTCTGACATCCCCTTGAATTAAAAAATCCCTCTGTGGCCTGAAACAGGAGGGAAATCTCAGCTGGGAGCAGGTGCCTCCCACAGCCAGGGCTGGAAGTAGAGAAGAACTTTTCCCCACAGAGCACTTACTTGTATTTGGTTGCCTGGGTTGCCACTGTGACTGAGAAGCCAAGAATTCCAGAAGTGTTCCTGCAGGTGGGGTACACGTGGTAGCTTAAAAGAAAAAAAGACACAAGCACAATTAACTTTTCATTTACAGGACATGCTGCAAGTTAAAATAGTGTTGGTACTTTGGACAGAAAAATCTGAGATCTAAATTTGCAATAGTCTTATTTTCTTTGTTTTCTGCATTGCTGCTTTTCAGTGTTTTCTCAGCTTTAGGAAATCCTTTTAAATTGGGAGTGTTCATATTTGGGTTCCTGCAAACTCATCCAAGCAGAGTGAGAGACCCAGAGCTGTGAAAAGCCTGCTCCAGTTTCCTGGGGTAGCAGGGTGCCTCTGAGGGAGCTGCTCAGCACCACTGAGAGAGCTGCTGTGAAAACAGCCCTGGGGAAGGGGGCTGAGTGTGGAAGTGCAAGGAACAACTTTATGCTGAATAATTCTGAGTTAACACACTGATAATAGATGCAATTCTCACAGAAGTCAAAAGCAACTTGGCTTGCACTTTGTATTGATGGGTGCTTTTGTTTTTGAAATGTTGATGTTGCTGTTTCCATTACAGTAACTGAGGATCAGCCAGGAAGGACTCTCAGAGTAAAAGCACCAGAGACCAGTCAAAGCAGGAGGGTGGGAGCAGGTGCAGAATTCCTCCCAGTGAACTCACCCAAGGGTCTGCTTGGTCCTCAGGAAGTCAAAGCAAGGCTCCTCCATGTGCATCTGAAAGAGCACAAAGTACAGCAGAGGTGACACTGCCTGCAGCCCCTCGTGGGCTCCACACAGAGCAGGGGGACACTGAAGTGCCCCTGGCCAGCCACAACCACAGCATTAAGAGAGCTCAGTCCTGTGGGCTGGGAGCTACAGAACAGTCTCCTGTGGTGTCCATCACTGCAGCACCCAAACATTTCAGCCAGGGGAAGAAATAGGAACACACTGGGGACCAGCCTCGTGGCCTCAGCTCCAAGCAGTGCTCAGGGCAGACACAAACACAAACTTACCACAAGCAGCTCCATCAGGGTGTACTCCCTCAGGTTCCTGGCACCTGACTGGAAAGACAATGAAGAATTTAGGGTGGGTTTCATGGGATTGCTCAGGCCAAAGTGACTTGTGGCACACACGTCAGCCTGGACTGCAGCACTGAGGGACAATACACAGCAGGGACAGATGGGAAGTTCTGGTTTCCCCCGAGGGGACAGGCCCAGCCCAGCACCCAAGATCAGAGCTGGGGACACCAGGAAGCCACCACAGCACTAACCCAGCTCCCAGCAGCAGTACAGGAAGGGAAAGTGCTGGCTTCAGGGAACCCCCCCACTTGGATTTCAGGGAATCTCACTTGGGTTGAGCCTTGGGGCACGGGGCCTGTGCTCACATGAGGGGTGTGTGTGTCCCCTCTGTGACATCCCTGTGCAGAGCCTGCTCCCAGGGAGGGCTGGAGCCAGAGGAGCAGCCCAGCCCAGCACACAGTACCTGGTAATAGACCGTCACCTCGGAGTTGGCGTCGCCCTTGTTGAGAGTTTTCACCTTACACAGCAGGTGGGCGTTGGGCAGATCCACCACCC